GTCAGAATTTAGAAAATAGCTATCATGAAATAGAAACAAAATTGTAGGCAAATAAAGAACAACTTACCTAAGGTCTTTGGAATTTATTCATTCAGAATATTTATCAGGCATCTACTACATGACTGGTCGTGTTTCTGGGATATATCAAAAAGAAGATGACTCTTTTGCCCAGAGCTTACATTCTAATAGACAACAAGCAATAAGTAAAATAAATAACATGTGTTAGAAGATGACAAGTGCTATGAGAAAAAAATGAACAGTTCAGCAGGGTAGGGTAGAAGTTGCAGTTATAATAACCAGATGATCAGGGTGGTCCAAGTTAACAAGATGCAATTTGAGCCAAGAGTTGAAGATTTTTCAGATGGTCATGATCTGGGGGAGACACATCCCAGCAGAGAATGGCTGGATGGAAGGCCTGAGTGTGCCTGGCCTGTGTGAGGGCATTAGAGAGCCAGCATGACAGGGGGAGAGTGGACAGCAGCAGTAGCGGGTGATCAAGTACAGTGCTAATGAAACCAAGKCCAGATCTTAAAGTGTCTGCAAACCACTGTGAAGACTCGACATTTTATTCTAAGTAAATTGTGGAACCACTGGAGAATATCAAGGACAAGATTTGATTTGGATTTTAAAAGGATCTCTCTGGGCCTTGTTGGACAATACCAACTATAATAGGGATAAGGGAAAGAGCAGGGAGACTCGGTGGAGGGTTTTGCTGTTATCCAGTTAGAGAGATTATGGTAGGTTGGGCCAGAATAGTAGCAATGGAGGTGGTGAGAGATGGACAACATCTGGAAATGTCAAAGGCAGAGCCAACGGGATTTTCTGATGGAAAGGATGTACAGAAAGTGAGAAGAAAGCAGTTTCAGATGCTTCCAAGGATTTTGCCTAAGCCTAGGTGGTGCCATGAGCAAAGTGGAGAAAACTGTAAGGGAAGTGGTTTAGGGAGAAAGTTGGAAGTAAATATAAGGTTCAGATTTAGGAATATTGATTGTGACAAAGCTCTTCATCATACTAGTGGGGATGCAAATAGGCAGTTGTATGAATGACTCTGGAGTTTGGGTGAAAGGTCTGGAGTGAAAGTAAATGTACCTGTCTCAGCATGTAGGAGGCCTGGGACTGGCTGAGATCATCAAGGAAGTGAGCAAGCACAGACGGGGAAAGAACCAAGCATAGCACTCAGGAGCACCAAAACTTCAAAGAGGTTCTAATATGATTTCTTGCTATACTGAAGATAAGGAAAATTTAGAATTTCTTGAGTTTTTCTTATTTAAGCAATAGATATAATTTTAATTTTGAAAAAATATATATATATAACACAAAATTTACCATCTTGACCATTTTTTAAGTGTACAGTACAGTGGCATCACAATTCATTCACACTGTTATGTTATTGCCTTGATCCATCTACAGAGCTCTTCATCTTGCAAAACGGAAATTCTATGCTCCTTAAGCAATAACTCCCCAATACTTCTTCCTCTCAGCTTCTGGCAATATCCGTTCTGCTTTTGTTTTTATGAATTTTACTATTCTAGGTTCTTAATGTACCTGGAATCACACAGTATTTGTCTTTTGAAAACTGGTTTATTTCACTTTGTATAATATCTTTCAGAATCATTTGTGTAGTGGCATATCAGTGTTTTCCTTCCTTCCAAAGGCTAAATAATATCCGTAGTCTGTACAATACCACACTTTATATACTCATTCATCCTCTGCTGGAGTTGGGTTGCATCCATCTGTTGGCTATTGTGAATAATATCATGAACATGGATGTATAAATATAGGGGGTATCTGTTTTTTAAAGTCTTGTAATACATGTAGTAGTTGATTTTCATGTTTTTTTCTTTTTTATATAAGTAATAAACACATTTTATTTATAAAAGATTTAAAGCTGTACATAAAATATTAATAGCTATATAAATAGCAAAACATGACAGTTTTTATTTATTATCTCATTTCACCACCATACCTAATTCCCAAAATTAAGGTTTCATATTACCTTCCATTCTTTTTAATATGTTTATAGGTGAAGCATCCCTAATTTGAAAATCTGAAACTCCTTGGAGGTGTTGACAGGATTTTTAAAAACTTTTTTTTTTAAATATCTTTTGCTTTCTTCAGTTTTGGATTCTGGGGCACTTTGGATTTCATATTTTTGGATTAGGGATATTCAGTTCATAAAGTCTATGCTAATATTCCAAAACCCAGATAACTCCAAAATCTGAAGGATTCTTGGATAAGGCACACTCAATTTACATACATTTGTATACAGCTTTTATTTTTTTTAATGAGATCACATTATACATTGTGTACTATACAATTTTCTTTTATCTAATTTTGTCTTGGAGATCATCCGTATCTGTTACAAATCTTGATAATGCTGAATTGACCTGTGTCCACACAGAACTATTTCTCTGCCCTAGGTACCCACTTACTTGTAAATCACTCCTACTGGTTCTTCTTGATAATGGGGACTCCAAGAGCCCCTGTAGTTAATGTAGTTAATGGGTAGACTATCTGGTTATAATTTGGTTGCAATTTCTTGTGTGCAACTGGCACCCAAATGAGAACTCTCCCCAAGTCATAAAGAAGCAAACTTGTACTTTTTATTGCTATTAACCAAGATGAAATGATTAATGAAATGATTTTGGTATGAGGCAAACTTTCTTTACCAAGATATGTGTGACCTATCTTAGTGGTCAGTAACTTTTCCCTTAAAAGGCCAGATAGTAAATTGGGGGACAGAAAGAGGTATGCTGACAGCCACATATGGTCTTCTTTTCTTTAAATAACCTTTCAAAAACGTATGTGTTCTCTGTGTCCTGCATGTGTTCCTGTTTCACGAAACTGGTGGATGTTTGGAGACTTGTTTTAAACAATAGTGTGAAGTGAAGTTTCTGACTGTGGCTTTATTATCCCTGGCAAAAGATCTGTGGTCATGAATTTTTAATGAATTTATGGGGAAATGAATGTCTAGTTGATCTCTTATTGCAAGCATCTTGTCACATTCCTGGGAGRTAATCTCTATAAATGTGACACTTATAAAACCCATCACACCCAGGAAGCTTGCTCTCCAGAAATTATGGGCCTAGTCTTGAATTTCAAATTAATACTTTTGTAAGACACTTGTCACTTCTAAATAGACTAATTTTTAAACTTGTTTCATATGTTAATATGTAAAGGTGGAGGTCTGTTTTTTTTTTTTTTTTTTTTTAAAGACTTTCAGTTTTGTCATTCAGCACATTAACTTCCCATTCAACACATTAATGGTTTTATTGCTACTGCTGTTATCACTCTGGCTAAAGCTGCATTCTTGCTTTGGCAAGGTCTCCTTTTATGATTATGCTGCAGTTTCTTGCTCTGGTTTATAGTGGAGCTGTGGCTTTTCTGAGATTCTGCCCCTAAGCCATCCTTCACTAGGCCCCAGCAGGGGGCCTTTAGGATACTTGCTTGATGTTGAGATCACTGTGGAAAAACAACCAAATCCCCCTGAAAGGCTAAGTGGTTGCTTGATATATATCCCTGTGAATTTGAGGTTTTCTAGGAAGGGGACATAAGCTCATACCTTTAAAGATTTGAACTTTTAGTTCTTTCATTTACAAATTTAAAAATATTCTGTCAGTCATCCATAGCTCTTGCTTTTGCTGAAAATAGTTAATCCCGCTGACAGATTTACCATTTTAGCAGAAGGGTCTCTTGTTGAAAGCCCATTTAATTTCTGCACTGCTTCTCTAATAAATTTCTCAGACAATACTTAGAACTGTTAATACTTCCTAAAATCTGTTTCATCAAAATAAATTTTTAAGGGCACACAGAAAATAAAGCAGTCGTGTACTTTTTAGTCAATATTATTTAATAATTTGGACTAAGAAGGATCTTCTTTTAAAATATTTTATTAGTTGTTAATAGATTTTTATTTATTGTTATGTGGTGCTGAGGATCAAACCTGGGGCCTCACACATGCAAGCGCTCCACCACTGAGCCCCAGCCCCAGCTCCCAAGAAGGATCTTGTTGATTCAGTAGATAGTTGATTTTTTTTTTAACTTAGCTTTTCTTGATTTGCATGATAAAGTTTTAAAAATCTCTGATATTTATATTTGAATCCTACAAAAATGAAACTCTTTGTTTCTTAACCAAATGGCCTATTTTGTTTCAGTTGTAGTGAACTCCTGGTAGAAATGTTATCTTCTCTTAACCAGAGTTCAGTCTATAGTTAATTTCGCCATGTCAACCACGAGAGAGGGAAATTTAATGTATGTATACAAAGAAGACACTGACCTGGCTTTTTCAAAGGTCTCTGAAATTTAAGATGTACCTTCTTGTATCAGAAACTGAACCGAAGACTGATCTTTTCCCCTCTGTCTGTGTCTTGTAATGTATCTCAGTGTTGTTTTAAAGAACATTTTGGGTTTTGAGTTCTAAATAAGCTTGATGGTGTTCTCCACGGAATCTTGCCTTTCCATCCTTGGGAAGCTTGGGTCACTCCCCTGCTGCTCGTGGGCGTTATGTGGAGTCACCGAGTCAGCTAGTGGGTGAGAGGTTGTGTGTATTTGCTTGTTTCTGTCTGAGCCATTCTTCTGGAGTCTTTGGGTCAGCTGTCACGTTGGGGCTTTCCTGCTTTGTTCTTTGAGTACAGGCTGATGACTGGTGACTGACTGGACACTGGTAAGAAACGCTTTTAACAGATTAGAGCTGGGCCCCTCCTGTCCTCGCCTCCACCTACACCAGAGCAGCTGCATTCTAAGCCCTTTCTGCGACTCTGCTAGGAAGGGAGGTCTGTGTGTAGCCGGTTTTCCTGGGTGTGCTAAGAGGGTTTCGAAAGCACATGGAATGAGCTCTTTCCCAGGAAAAGTTCTTTATCAAGGACAGCACTCATGGAAATAGTATTTTGACGATGAATCTTATGACTGCTTGGGTTTTATGGGGTTAGGAGAAATGTGACGAACCAGATAGAATGGTGCTATGCCTTGGTATTTATCTGTCTTTCCTTTTGAACTCACAGGCAGCAGTACCTGTCCAAAGGTCACTCTAGTCCCACCTGGTTCAAGGAGCAGCACAACCACACTGGTCGATCAGAATGTATCTGAAGAGGCTCAGGGAATAAATGGGAAGACACCAGCGAAACGCTCAGCTGCAAGTCCAAAGCCACAAGGTATGCATGTGGGTGGGGGGTTGTAGTTGGGGCCGGTGCTTTGTTCRCTGAGAAAGTCTACTTAGAAGAAAGAAGAACATGGAGTTTTTAACCATACAAAGAGAGGAACTGGGTACCTTTATTTTTTTAGCACCTTTTCAGGCAGTGCCAGCATTTGCTCTGCTCCTAAAACAGTGTATAAATTTCTCTGTCATTGTTCTTTGCACAGTGCTGAGATTTCATGTCTTCTTCCTGGCACTGCCTTATGCTCAACCTAGTGCAGGGCTTAATTTACTGTCTGTATAATAAACATGTTTAGAACTACTGTCAGGAAGAACTGGCCTGCTAGATGTCAGAGGATCTGTAAAACAGATCATTCTAAAACAGTGCTTAACATACTTATCAAGAATGTGTTTAGATGATATTAAGAACGGGGCCTGGAGAATACCTCTTGGGAACAGAGAGGAAAAGTAAAATCCCTCCATTTAGATGGAGTAGCCATTTGGGGGAAAATAAAGTGGAAAGCTCTGAATATTTGGTTCAGTGACCTCTTCCTTTTACAGAGAAATTTCCAGTGAACTGAGTATTAACTTTGAGAAACACAAATTACAGTTTTGATGGTAGAGATCAAGGCCTTTTGGACTGCAGTGCAAAAACTGAGCTTTGTGATGGTTTAATGTATAGTTTCTTCTGGATGGATTTTCATTCATAATGCTCAACATTTATTTACCAAAAAAAAACATTTTTAGAATCACTGTGCTTTGGAGAAATCTATTTATATCTTGTTTATTTTGTGTTTACTTTGGTCTCTTTCCTATTCTTCCAAAGAAAAAAGCATACTAGGGAATGCATTGTAAAAGAACTGATGTTGTTTTTTTAAAGTTGTCTTTGTTAAGGATTTCTGAAAAAACATTTGAAATAGACTCTTAATAGATTATGGTATGTTAGTCTTTTTGTTCTCACTACTGGCTGTGTTCATGGTGGAATGTCAAGCACAGCCAAATAATTGGTGATTTAAAGGAAGAGGCCCCTCCATGAGCTTATGACCTTTTCTTTGGGCCATAGTTCTCCCTATAACAGTGACGTGACTATAAGCACAGACATTCTTTTTACCTTGATTTAAGCTATTTTATTTGTAAAATACAAAATTATACCTTGCTCATTAGAGTTGAAAAGATAAAATATGAGGTAAGACTATAAACTCTAGTTTATGTAACTGGCCAGATCAAAAGCGAGATTTTCATTGCTTAAAAACCTGTTTTGGAAGACACATTACATTACTTCACTGTTTTTCACAGACAGTGTATTTTTTTTTAGTTGATTTTTATTTTAAATAAATGACAGCAGAATGCATTACAATTCTTATTACACATATAGAGCACAATTTTCATATCTCTGTTTGTATATAAAGTATGTTCACTCAAATTCATGTCTTTATGCATGTACTTTGGATAGTGATGTCCATCACATTCCACCCTCATTTCTTTTTTTTTTTTTAAATATTTATTTATTTATTTTAGTTTTCGGCAGATACAACATCTTTGTTTGTATGTGGTGCTGAGGATCGAACCCGGGCCRCATGCATACCAGGCTAGCACGCTACCGCTTGAGCCACATCCCCAGCCCCCACCCTCATTTCTAACCCCATGCCCCCTCCCTTCCCCTCCCACCCCTCTGCCCTAGACAGTGTGTTGCAAGAAATCAAAGAGCGTCCTTCCTGAGGGACACTTCTGCTCTAAGCCCACTTCTTTATGGAGACTATAAACACTTAGCTTTATTCTTGCTGTTTTAAAGTTATACCAAAATCAATATGTTGCTGTTTAGATGCTTATTTACTTCCTGTCTTAAATGTGGATTATACACAATTTTCTACAACTACCAAGGATATTTCCAGATACGGAGTAAATGCTCTTTCTTGATATTTGGCTCTTCCCTAGAACCTCTGGCTAAAATTTTGACCCTAATATTTTATATTCCCCAATGAACTCATCTCCTTGGCTTCTATAACAAAATATTATAAACTGAGTAGCTTATAAACAACAGAAATTATTTCTCACAATTCCAGGGGCTGATAGATTTGGTGTCTGGTGAGGGCCTTTCTTTCTTCCCCTTTTTTCTTTTTTCTTTCCTTGTTTGTTTGTTTCTTAACAGTGCTGGGATGGAACACAGAGCCTCATGCATGCTAGTCAAGGGCTCCACTTGTGAGCTGCATCCCCAGCCCTTTTCCTTATTTTACTTTGGCCTGTTTTCTGATTGACCCGAAACTCACAATAGTGGTAGGGGCAAGGGTTCTCTCTAGGTCTTGTTTTAAAGGGAATGAATCCCATGAATGAGAAGCAGAGTTAATCATGACCTAATCATCTCCCAGAGGCCCTTACCTTCTCATGCCATCATCTTGGGGGGTAAGGATGTCAGCATGAATTTGGGGACACAACATTGAGATCATAGCACCCATGCCTCTTTGTTTTTTGTTATTCATTACCATCTGACCTGCTGTGTGTTTTATTCATCTGTCTTGGGTGTTTCCTGTGTTTTGTGCTCTTGTATTCCCTCCTATAGCATGGGGCAGGTCTACAATAATCTCCTCTGCCAAATTTCTTCCACTTTTTTATAATATACCCTTCCTTTCCCTCCCCTCCCCTCCCCTCCCTCCCCCCCCCCCCCCCCCCCCCCCCCCCCCCCCCCTCCCTCCCTCTCTCTCTCTCTCTCTCTCTCTCTCTCTCTCTCTCTCTCTCTTTCTTTCTTTCTTTCTTTCTAACATTTCTTCCACTTTGCTTCAGCTGTTCTTTATTTAAAACTTTAGATGTATGCCATTCAAAGACCAACATCCCTGAATAAGGCTATATCTTAGAATTCTAAGATGAGCTGCCATATAGATTGGGTACTGTGTAAGACTTACTGGCCAACAATAGTTAATAGCTACCCTTTACTGGAGAGGCGCTAATTCTGATTTCTTTAGGCTCTTAACATTAGAGTGACTGAGGCAAAAAAGGGATGGAGTGCTAATGAAGACTTCCTGCATGGAGTAAGGGAGTAGATTACTGAGACTTTTATTTAATCCTGCTATGTCTTTAATCCCTTAAAAATTGTGAATGGTGAGGATACTGAGGCTAAAGAGTTATTGTGTGACTTTAACTGAATTGATGACTCTTGTTCTATATCAGTAATTTTTACCCAGAGGCATTTTTGACACACTTACCACCACTTCCATGGGACATTGCTTATGTCTGGGGACAATTTTTTATTTGACATTACTTGTAAGAGTTGCTACTGGCATCTAGCCAGGAAAGGGTAGGGATGATGCTCAATATCCTACAGTACACAGGACAGCCCCTCACCACAAAATGTCATCTAAACTGAAACATAATTAATGCTGAGTTTGAGAAACACTGATGTACATCCTAAAAGAGCACATCATTATATCTTGGGTGTTTTTTGATTTCCTTATGTGAAATGCTAATGAGATTATAGCTACAGTTTATTTTGGTAGTTTTCAGAGGAGAGAGATTACTATTGTATGCATATATATTAGTGGTGGTTATTGTGTATCATGCATTTGGAACCAGGTTTATGTTTGTGTTGATTGGAGAATCATGTATAAGTTTTTAAAAGGTAAAAGAGGTAAATTTTAGATTTGATAAAGTTGCATTTGGATCTAAATGGCAGTGTGTAGATTTTTAAAGGATTTCTTCAATATTAGAGCTTGTTTTGATTCCACCTCAGAAAATACCCTAAGGCTTAGAAACCATGGCTGATTCTCTTTTATACCAGTCCCGCTAGTCTAACACATTACTGAGCGACCTCCAACATAGTCTTTCTTCTTGTTCACCACTTTTATTATTGACCTMTTTCTGGCCATACTAGAGTAACTCAAAATAGCTTCTTTTAAAGCAAATAGTACTTTTTCTCTCAAGAGCTTTGGTCCACAACATTCTCCATAGTTCATGATTTTTTTTTTTTTTTTTTGGTAAAACTCAATTTTTGTCACACAATGCCTCAGTCTTTAAATCTAAATATTTTTAAAGTTTCATGAATTTGGAAAAGCCACATTATTATTTGAATAATTTATGAAATTATATGGAATACTCAAACTAATTTATTTGCCTGTAATGTAAAACAGTCCATTCATGTGTAATAATCTATCGTTAACAAGTGTATGTTTATAATGCATTTATAAGTAGCCAACTATTATTTTTTATTTTTATTGACAGTAATTGAAATCTCCTAATGCTCTTCAATCTGGTAATTAGTTTCTCTTCATTCTTCTTGATCACTGTGCATACTTGGAAATTTTTTAATAATTAGATTTTTTTCTTTTTTATTTGTGTATAAATGTGGCTATAATGGTTCATTTTACTAACACTCAGATATCTCACTTAGCATGTGCAAAACTGATCTACCAATCTTCTCTCCAAAAATTACTCAACTCACTGTTTCAGTTGATGACTGTGCCTCCCTCAGGTGTTCAGGCCAAAGGTCTCAGACTCATCCTTGACTCCTCCCTGTTTTTCTCATACCTCACAAGCAGAAAATGTACTTATAAACTACGTCTAGAATCCAACCAAATCTTATCAGCTCCTAAGCACCCTTATCCCATGCCTGGATTTCTATAATAACCCCTGACTTGTTCTTTTCTATATTCTCAGCACAGCAACCAGAGTGGTGCTGTTGAAATGTAGGTCACAATGCTACATCTCTGCCCAGAACTCTGCAGTGACTTCTCATTTCTTGCAAAGTTAAAATCACTTCCAGGGTCCATAAAATTTGACAAAATCAGGCCCCCCCTGACCTCAACACCTACTCTGCTCACTCAATCATTTTGCTGCACTTATGTTGGGCTCCAGACTTTAGTAGTCTCTAGCTTTTTATCCCTCTGCTGGGATGCTCTTCCCTGAGAAACTGGTTCAACTTCTTGAAATCTTTCAAATTGTTGCTTCCCACAGAAGCCCACTTTGGACATCCTGTTTAGTGCTGAAATCTGCCCTCCCTACATTCCCTGTGATCTTGCTCTTTTAGCTCCT